GAGGCAGAAGCGCTTGAGGTGATCAAGTGGGGTGTCATTCTTATGGACATACGCAAGGACGAGAGACTCAGGAAGCTAGGATTAGGGAGTAAAAAGACGACGGTGGTTTACTTGTCAAGTGAGGAGGCCCTGGCCAGGAGCGGGCACGTCGACAAGTACGTGGGGGCATTTAACATGGCGAGAGAGAGCCGGAAGGCGCAGAACGAGCCGTAATGTATTTAGCGATGTGCAGCGAGAGTGTATATCACAAGGTCTGAGCCTATAGATCGCATAACGACGTCTGTCGTGGCGGCTACAAAGTCCAAGCTGCATGAAACTATCCATCGCACCCTCTTCCCGCCTCTGACTCATCTGCCGATGTCTCGATTACTGCGTCGGCCAAGAAGCCGGGGTCGACAGGCTACTGACCAGCGTGCTCACCGCTCCAGCCATGAGCCGGTGCGCCGAGCGGCACACTTATCAAGGCGTCAATAGCGCGGAGATGGCGAAGCAGTCATAACATATCGTATTGAGTAATGTGCAATCAGGTACATGCAGGCCATGGGATAAATCTAGAGACCGTAAGCCAACGTCTATCATATCGTCAGCGACACTCAAACCATGTCAAGGATCCCATCAGCCTTACTTGTCCTCCTCCAGTGCGCCTGCCAACGTCTCCATGATCGCAACCATGCCGTCGCGAGCTCACCAGAACCTGCGCCTATGTCCCAGCCGGCCATCCGTGCGCGGCCGACGAACGTGTAAAGTTGACTATCCACGACCGCCTTCGATGTACGCGCCTCCCCGAGCAGACCAATGACGTTCGTCGAGCGGGACTCCTCCCAGAGGCCCACGAGCTCGAACACGCGCGAACAGGCCTCCCAATTGGTCGCCGAGAGAGAGAGTCGTCTTGTGAATAGCGCAAGGGCACATACAGGCGGCCAGGTCGGCGTGAGGGCTGGACCAGAACGCGCACCCCTCGGCGCAGCCGCGAACTTCCGCCCGTCGGCCCAACCATGGCAGAGCAGACGGCGCCGGCGAGCGTATGTTGCAATGGCCGAGCATGCGGTGCGCGCGGGCGCCTAACTTGGAGAGGAGGCGCGTAGAAGGGTCTTGGGAGACGCGGCCGTGGGATGGGACTTCCTGCAGCGCGGGGCAGCGGTGCCGGTGTGCGCTACCGCCGCCGGCAGTTGTGACCATGAGACGATAGATTGCACACCGCGGCGGCTGATGGAGATATAGGAGATGACGACGAGCAGACTGTACGTCTGTGCCTGCGGCTCGATAGGACACATAGTGGAAGCTCTGCGCTAACAGCAAGCTGAGCAGCACCCGGAAGAGGGCATGTTGAAGATCACTTACTTTAAGATGTATTCTGTATTTCCGCATAGTCTTCCTGGGCCGTCCTCCCGGGCTGCGTCGGCTGTGCGGCGGGTAACTTCGATCTGAATGGGGTGCGTCCTCGAGACAAAATACTAACACGGAAGGGCAATATACCTGTGTTCGCCGTCCGTCTGCTTTCTTGCTTTGTCTAAAAGGTACTCCCTGCGCAACGGTCAGTCCGAAAGAGTTTGAAGTGAAATGATGCACACCAACCGAACGCTACTCCACTCAAGCGCCTACATGTTCCGTCGCGTGAGGTCGCAGCTTGGGCCATTTCGCAGCCGGTGCATCCCACAACCCGAGCTCCTTCTTCAGCTCGTCCTTGTCCTGCTCCCAATACACCATTATCAGGCTCCATGTGCTGCTCCCGCACTTCATCACTCACGGTACATACTCCCTGAGCAGCCAAGCCCGCTTCGCAGAGCTGATGCAGAGGTGCCCGGACGCGGCGGCGAAGCCGGCCATGGGCAGCCCGAGGTTGGTGAATTCGAACGACTTGACGGCGAGCTCGGACGTGACGTGGACGAGGAAATCAACGAGGCAGTGGTAGAGGTCGCGCGATTCGCGATAGAGCTGCATCACCTACGCAAGCTCGCGGTCGTTAACGTAATGCCTCTGCACTTTCTAACTTTTAGTTACCGCAAAGACATCTAGGAAATGAGCTCACTGGTTCGTGGGTGGTAGATGTGACGTTGCATCGTTCCAGCCAGGTCGTATAAGTGCGCCCGAATGGATTCTGGGGAAGGATTGCGAGGTAGTTCATGTCAACGGTCTTCACGGTGACGCACGGCCTCTCCTTGACGATCCGGCTTCCCTCTGGGCTCGCCAGCATCTGGTCTTGAAGCGTAGGAAGCACGGGCACCAAGTAGAGGTCTCTGACTCGGACGGCAGCAACCATATCTGCGCTCTGTCGTCAGCAATACTTAGCGTACACAATGCTTAAGCACATACCATGGCACGCAGGTGCGGTCAGGGCCGTGTACGACGCTCCGGTAACCATGAACGCATGCTCGAAGCAGGTTAGCGGGTCATGTCCTGAGTACAAAGGCCGGTAAAGTCCTCGTAGCTGAAGCGGGACTGGAGCCGCCGCATGGCTTCGATGAGTGAGGCGGATTCGAGGTCGCCAACAGTTCCACCAAGCTTGAACACGATGTTAGCACGTTCAGATGGTGACCAGAGACGATCACATACTGACATACGTTACTTTATGGACAATCTACGATGCGCAGATGAGGGTGGGAATGACAGATGCTGCGAATGAAACTCACTTGGACGGCCTTCCCAAGCTAATCGTAACGCACTTACGAAACAAGTCACATCAGCAATAACCTCAGACGAGAGTGGTCTGAGGACGCACATCTTTTTTCAAAACAAGCACTGACATGAAATGACACCGCCGAGTGATAGCGACACTATGAAGTTGGGAATTCTACAGCCAGGTTATTGCCGAGGCCTAAGTCGACCTCTCCGCCACTATTCAGGACATAAACTTCTACAAATTTCGTATTTAGCGCATGCTTCGAAGCCTTCCAGAGCGTAGAGCGCACCATGCCTTGCGTACCTGCGCTTTCATTCTCAATTGCCGTGAATTTCAGGCCGGCTGTCCTGAGCAGCAGTCCAGCCGAAGACGCTGTAACGCACAATGAGCCTCCGCCACAACCAAGTGGCGAGTTTCGGAACGCACCAATGACACCCTTCCGACAACGCTCACCACGCCGCCCAGGCTATACCATGCTTGCTGTGTTCTGAAGGCAGAATGACGCGGAATTTAGGCCAATTACTCTGCGAGATGCCGCGGCTCGTTCGAGTAAGAGCCAGCTTCTCACGCTTCCCGCGTTCCGTGCATTGGGCGCTCTGGAGCGTGTCGGTCTTGAGCGCTGGCAGAAAGCCCACCTCGACCAGTTAGGCGATGTGCTCGTCCGGCACCACATCGTCGACCGTGCGCTCGTCTGCTTCGTGTGCCGCACAACGAGGTCCCGCGTGTTCGTGCCGCTAAGTTCGGGCGCGCCTTAATGTTTGCCGGCAGGCCGTCGAGCACAAAGTGCAGCAGAGGGAGTGACTCGTCGTCCTTCACCTCCATGACCTGCAGCCCAACCTGGCGCCATCACACGAGGTACAGCAGCGCTTCGTGCAATAGCCGTAGAGGAAGAGTGCCAAGAGGAAGTTACTGGGATGGGCTTGGGTGGACGGTAGCGTGAGGGATGCTGGGGCAGTTACGCAGGGCAGGGAGAGGGTGGGGCGCTGCGATGGCGGCCGAACAGGCAGTACGGTCGATGGGGACCATGTTCACGGTGCCATTGATGTCCAGAACCCCGCCGAACTTGGTGCGGTCCTTGACCACAACCCTAGAGGCAGTCGTCAGTGCTTTTCACTGACAGGTAGACTAGTATCCTACCATAGTATTAGTGGCAAACCGGTGCTTACCGGAGGTGTTGGAGTCACCGACAGCATAGCGCTCGCAGATGATATGCCCACCGAGATCCCTCGTTCTCGCCTCGAAAGGCCGCTCCCTCGACGCTCACTTGCCCCGTCTCGAGTGTCTCGAGTGCGCCCTCGAGGCCGTCGCCCTCGGAGATACCCTCCCTGTCCTATCGATGTTGACATCCCTGGCCTGTCGTCTGGCGGCCGCGGTCCATAGCGAGAGCGCAGATCGAGAGGGACGCGAGTTTGAGTCTTGGAGATCAAGGTCGACTAGTAAAGTCAAGCAGCCGAATGATGCATCGCTAATGCAGCCACTGTGATCACCGAGTGCTGGTATATGCAGATCTGCAAGCCAGCCCGAGGCCGTAGTGAGAGGTGGCAGTAGTCGAGGAGTAGCGAGACTTACCAGGACGATACACGAAAGCGTAGCACTGTATCGTAGCTGGGAGGCGTGCGTCTGATTCGTGACGCCGAGCACATGGAGGCCGAGAGGCGGTTGGGGCCTTTGACGTAGGTCGCACACGGTCTGGAGCAGAGGATGAGATGTATTGCGTGCAAGAACAGACGGAGGACGTACATCAAGCAGAGCCTGTGACAGATAATTCCCAGTGAGCTCGTCGTAGAAGGTCGACGCCCGCCCTGTCGCAAAGTACAGGGCAATGCTGGCAAGCCAGAAGGGGCAGTTGCCAAGCGTGCGCTGTGCGAGGTCGCAGCTAATTTTAGCAAGTGAAGCGCAGCGGTTGGAATGCAGCTACGCACCTTGACTCGCCTGCCATGCTGCTCGCCGTGCACGTAAGTACTGCCTACGTACGCTCAGGTCCAACTCAGGTCCGCCCGGATGTTGCCGCGCCATTGTGATTGCGAGACGAGCGAGGGGTTCCATGACTGAAATCACAGCGGTGTGGTTTGCAAAGTGGCCGATCAAGGAGATTTTGCGGCGGTGGACGGGTGTATATATTGAGCGTCTGGTACACGTGGCCTCTTCTTCATGATCACATGCAAATCACATGGTCATCCGAGCGCGCTTGCAGCATCACGATTTTGTCGCGTTGACCTCGATGCCCTCACACAGCCGGCCCGAGACAACTTCGCTTCGAGCTGTAGCCGGTTTGTCTGAATATCTATGGGACGACTATTGCTTACGCGCGGGTTGATACCGCCGACGGGCATCTTTGCGGCCCTTTCACGCCTTCCTACACATCGACCGATCCTCAAGCGAAGATGCACGTTCAAGCGTTCAATTTTAAAGGACGAGGATTCTGATCCTGGACATGCGCTAGCTGTTGCTGTGCCGCAACAACGCGGCAACAAACGTGTATGCGTTTTCTCTGCTTCCCCCCTGGTTCGCCTTAGCTTGCGGCTGGATCCAAGGGTGGCAACAAATAAGATCGGCGCTAATACATCCTCTGTCCTTTACTGCTCAAAGTCATGCATGGCTCGTATAACATTGCTCTCTTCGTTACGTTAATTTGAGTGCCTGCTTACTCTTCGTTGGCCATGCACCACACCATTCCCTGACGCTTTACTGCGACGACCATGGCCCTCCGGCCTCAGCCGCCCTCGGTAAACTCTTCGAGAATATCCAATTTTCAAGCCTCAGCGCCCTCTCTACTGCTTCTGCCGTCGTTATCTATGACCTGTTCGCCATCAAGATGCAGATGCAGACAATGGTCTGAAGTGTCGTCTAATAGGCCTCGGTGCGTCGCCCTACCGTGTCCTGTCCTCTCTTATACTAAATCGTCGCCCAAGTATCACCGCAATCTATAGGTGCACCGGTTCTGTGATAACGCAAGGCCCCTCAAGTACTTCCTCGTGATCGCGAGCACAGGCGCGGTCCAAGTCCGATCGGGCGCGATTTCCGCACCCCACCACCGCTATACCAGCACCGGCACAATGCATGCAGGGGCTTTTGGTACTCCCGCGTTGGCTGGATGACTGTCAGGCCGCGATACAAGCCCGAGCTCTCGTATGGTCGACGTCAGTGACCTAAGCAAGGGCCCTGTCATCTGTGTTATCTGGTGATACGTCTAACTACTCCTTAGCTATGGTTTGGTCCTGCCCACCGTCATTGGCGGGCTTGGCTGGGGTGAATGGAAGGGCAGATCATTCTTCGTTGGTGCAGCTCGTCTGTACTTTGCTCACCGCGTACGTGATCTTCCGTTTTAACACGCGTATGTCCCTATACCAACTTTCTTGCAGTCCACTTTCTGCGTCAACTCGCTCGCACACCGGCTGGGCGAGACTCCCGTCGTTGACGACATACACACGCCGGGAATCCACTTCATTATCGCGCTCCTCACTGTTGGCGAGGGCTACCACAACTTTCGTCACCAGTTCCCGATGGACTACCGGAATGCGATCAGGTAGTGCAAGGACAGCCCGACGAAGTGGTGTACTTGGGCGTGCGCAGCTGGGTCTGGCGAGCGATCTGAAGGTCTTTCCGAGAACGAAGTGAAGAAGGATCAGCCGACGATGGAGCTGAAGCGGCTGTTGGCGATGTAGGACGGTCTTACGTGGGCATCTGACGTCCAGGAGCTGCTGGTGATTGGCTGGGAGACCTGTACGTCCAGCATTAGGTGTTTCGTGCCATCCAGCTATGCTTGTTGACTCACGTATAACTCAGGAGCAAGTAGCCAAACTCCCACTTATCGTCATCACGGGCTTCATTCACGACGTCACTGAGTTCCTGGACGAACACCCTGGCAGGCGCCACCTGCTGGTGAAGCACATTGGCAAGGTCGCGACGACGGCATTCTTTTGGCGATATCTACGACCACTTAGACACTGTTTACAACGTGAGCATGACTCCTTTTTCGCTCATGGGATCTTTCTGATGTCATACTCGTAGTTGCTGTCGTTGGGGGCGCGTTGGGATCCTGCACGGCCTGGAGGAAAGACGATCTCACTGGCGCAGCGGCCCCGGGTTGCGCGGCACAACGATCTTGGCGGGTCGCCGTGATGCCGAGCAACGAGGGCATTCTCGACCGAGCGTCGTCCGCACGTTTGTGTTTTTTGTTTTTTGTTTACCTTTCGACGATGAGGGTCTCTTGCATAAAACATGTTGTGTTGAATATCCTGCTATTAGTCGCCTAGAATTCATTTCGGTCTGTCGTTTGCGGGAGAGCCGGTGGTTGCGCTGGCAGAATATTACTCCTGCTTGACTGCAGACGGCGCGCGGTCTCGGTGTGGTGCCGTTTTCGTCTCGTCTGAGCGATCGTCGTAAGTCACTGCGTCTACATTCTCTTCCTGATGTCTTATGTGAGCTACGGTGTCTGAACTGCCACACGGTGCTCCATTGCTAATGGGAAGTTGAACGACAACCCCCCTGGTTGCATCCACGCCTCGCCAATACACCACACTGATCGCGTTATTACATTATTTCAGCTGAGCGACAGTATGCTTCTAAGTACGCACGAGACGTCGACACATAGCTCGGCGTGCCGCTTACACTATGCGACAGCGCCTTACGCCTGCCCATCCAGGCCCTGAATCACCTTCGCGAACTGGGTCTTATGCTAGGCCTGCTATCTGTATTACTATGCCACCCATACAGACGCGCACTCTTCGTTCGTTACATTCAACATCACTCCATATTTGCTACACGTTCCTCGTTGTCTGCACTGCTACAGCCTTACGCTGAGCAGATATTGTTACACCAATACTGCTATCACATTCGCAATACATCCTGAATGCTATACAGAAGTAGAGGTCCATGCTGGGACTGTGCTAGAAGGGTCTGGCTGTCGGACAGAAACCGCAACTCCCGGAGCTCGTGACTCCCTTCATGCCTGTCGAACTTTGCGAGAAATGTCCTATACTTCGCATCGTACAGCTCGAGATCTTCGTCCAGGGAACCAAAGGCGACATAGCCTCCATCTAGGGAGTACACCGCATGATACGCCGGCTTTGCCAACTTGAAGGCATGGCGTAGCTGGCCTGTCCTCGAGTCATACGCGACGGCTGCCATATCCGCGTCACAAGCCGCCACCACCTCAGCACCGTCTGGGGAAAATGCCACAGGACGTGCGAGCTTCTTCGGCGTGAGAAGCTCCTCGTCGGTCACCGCACTCCATATTTTGACTTGTCCTGGGAAATCCGAATACGGGCTGGCGACTACATCGACGAGTAGAGCATCTTCCCGGCAACAAGCCGCAACGTAGCAGCGTGGGTACGGGTATGGATGTCATAGATGATGCAGGGCGTCTCAAGTTCGGCGTAGAGACATCAGTTGTCCCTGGGGGAGAAGGCAAGTTTGTATACGACTTCATTAGCGCCGAAGGAATGCAAGCATACTCCACTTGAGGCGTTCCAAATCTTGACGGACTTATCTTTATGGGGATCGGTGGCGATTACCGCGCCATTGGGAGCATGTGCGATGCTGCTCACTGGTCCACCGTGGTCTTCTAGATGCAGGAGTATGCGGCCATGTCGAGTATCCCACACAGTTGCAGTTCCGTCCCTGGACCCTGAGGCAAGATTGAAGTCGATGGGGGAAAAGGAGAGGCCAAGAACCTCGTATAGACGACCTGGGCGATGTAGAAGTTGGACCAGGAGACCGTCGGACAGTCGCCACACGAGGACGTCACTTCTCCCGAACGATGCCACCGGAAGTTTGTCATCAGCCGACAAAGCGAAGCGTAAGCAGTGACAGGATGGATCTCGTGAATCGGTGAAGACGATCTGCTTCGATTTGAGAGACCGGGTCTCTGCCTTCGAGGAGTCGGTGGAGACGCTCCCATCCTCCAAGCGACCGGCGGCGTCTGGCCACTTGGCCAAGTCGGGCACGGTGATGGTCCAACGAGTAAAAGTGAGTTCTTGCTCATGGGAAATGACATCCTCCATGCACAGCGATCCTACTGCGCGGGGAGTTGGGCCAGTCAGAGACCGTTGCCGCCAGCAGGTCAGAGACTCACCTGTGCTGTCGACCTGTACTGGAGGTTGCACTCGGCAAAGGTAGCTTGCGAAATCAACCACAGATTTGCCGCCCTGACCGAGAGTGAGCCTTATCGCACTTTTCAAATGTGTCATGGCACATACAATAATGGTCCAGACATCGTCATCACTCGCAATGGCAATCTCGACATCGGTAGTCTGTTGCCACACATGCTTAGCACTGTGACGTTATGAATAAGCCGTTGAACAGGCGTACCTCTAGTATGTACTCGAGAAGAACATTCAGCAGGTTGTATATCTCACCCTGGTATGTCGTCGTTAGATGCGCCTCGTGCTACATTGTGACGAAAGAGAACATGTATCTCATTCCAAAGATCCAGAGTGCTCGTCTCGTCGATATCTCCAACTTCTTGCGCCATGATTCCTTCTTCCGCCGAGCCACTCCTTCCATCTCTTGCATCTGGGAGCCGGTGGTAGCCTGCACCCGCGACGACCTCCTTCAGCACCCCAAACCGCCTCCGCACCTCGTTGCGCTTTACGAAGACAGACTGGTCTCTCTTTGGCATTGCAGGATCGGGATCGGGAGTATTCACCACGTAGCTCTCTCCCTGTCGTTGCATCGTCGGACCAGTCACACAGCTCGTGTGCGATGTGCCCGCGCCCATCCCCGCAATACCTCTGGCGTGACCTTCGATCGAGACACTCGAGCTTGTACTCGTGTTGCTGAAGGTGACCGTCGCCCAATCGGCCTCGGTCTTGACCCAACCGATGACCATGACAAAATTTCCCCGCTTGATATCTTGGCGGAGAACGCCCCTGGCATATGCGTACCATTTGTTATGGTGCCGGATGATGTACTCCTTCAGAGCCAAGTTGTCGAATATCGATTCGCCGTCTGCCTCGCTCTTCAGTGCAAGCACCGCGCCTTGTGTTGCTTTGCATGTGTACTCCGCACTCAGCGTCACGGACACGTTCGCACCAGCCGTTCTGCAAACCGTCAGCGAAAACGTTTCATCGGATAAGCAAGTATATGCACATGTCTGCTGAGGTATGTGATTGCCTGCTTTCAACTCCATTACTGCGATAATGGGCGGGAGCGAGTGGACGACGCCTAGGATCGATCTTGAGCACACCTGGTGGTAAGAGCTCTGTGATCTCGAACGGCGGGTCCCAGAATACGACCTTCTTCTCAGGCGCGGTGTCGAGGTTAGGTTGAAGCTTTGAAGAGTTTGATGAATGCGCCCTTGCACATGAAGCCGATGTCTCCGATTTGTGGCCCGCCCTATGCGTGTGGCTCCGGATACCACAAGGCGTGGCCGTCGTGGAGTGTTGCAAGACTCGATGAGTAGATTTCATCAGGAGCTGATGGCGGACGATGGAAGGAGAACATGGGGGGCGAGTTGGACGATGTAGGGCGGATTGACAGAATAACTATGGCAGCGCGAAGCCAGCCAGGGCACGCAACGTACACGCTGTGGGATCGATAATGAGGAGAATCCGCACTGCGCCATATTAGTCCGATGCTCCCGCACAAAGAGTACAGATGGCCAAACCTTAACAACCAGCGCACAAAACGTCGAATTCAGGTCATCGCTTCCGTCGTCGTACTACATTGCAGCGAGCAGCATGAGTGAGGCAGGTTTGTCAAAGACCACCTCAGGCTGACCGACAGTTGAATCTTCTTTGGACTTGTGGAGATGTCGGTTAGCCAGAGGATGTTATGCCTTGTCCGGGTGAGTGGTTGTAAGGTAAGTGAGGGGCTCCATGAGAAGATTAGCAGCTGAGGGAGCTCTCGAGACGGCAACGGCGGACGATGTGCACTTGAAAGTCGAACGGGCGGACCGGCAGTGCTCTGTGTACGGCAGGCAGATCAACGGTGACGTAAGCTGCCGGGTCCTAGGGTTAGGGCTATCGCATATGACGTGTGCACGTCCTTGTTGTTTGGACCGAGCTGCGAGTCCAGAGCTCGTTCTGACCCACGGACTAAGCTCCCGCCTTGAGCCTGCGCGCACGCCCGCCGAACTCAGTGCCTTTCGCTTCACCACCTAATGCAACTCTCCGCCTGCTCCGCGCCCTCTCTTCCTTCCCCGTTCCTATCGCCGTCTCATTCTCATGGCTGCAGCCAATTCGCTCCAACTTCTACCCACACCGCGCAGGGCATCGCCATCGCTTCCTACTCCCTGTGCCGTTCGCTAGGCCGTGGCGTCGATGCTGTTGACGAAGAGACAGCGGGTGTCGTCTCCCCGGCCTTCGTCTGCTGGAAGTGTGGAATCTCGATGTTCGTCGCCTGGCGCGCTTCTGCGAGCATCTTCTTCATGCCGTCCAGGCGTGTCCGCAGGTTCTCGTCGCCAGACTTGCGCGCGTAGGCCTGCGAGACCTGTTATGCAGCCGCTGGCGTCACGTAACCCGAGATCTGCGTCTGGTGCACGACCTCGATCTCGAGCGTTGCCTGTAATGTTATGTCAGAACTCTGAGCTTTGGGTAAGAGATGAAGGGGTCGCGTACGCGTAACATCCCGCCCATGCCGAGCTTCTTTCGCGACATATTCGACCAGCGCGCTGGGTGAGCGGGGCTGCCGCTGCGCTGACCCGTGTGTACACGTCGACGAGGTACACAAGGGTCTCAAAGACGTATGGTCCAATCTCTGCATGCCATCGTCAGCCGTGAACAGGTATCAACAGGTGGTCAAAACACACCCTTCAGCTGCGGCGTCTCGTTCCAGTCCACCCCAGGGTCTAGAATTCCCCCGCGGACGACGTCCATTAGGGCAGTCGCCTTCAGCCTGACATAGTTCTCGAACGGGGTTTTGCCGAGCTTCGCCACGACCGCCAACGATGTCTATAATACAGCATCAGTGTCGGCTGACTATCGACGTGTCAATGCGCATACTGTGTAATTATTCCCGTATCGAGATATATCAATTGCGCTCTCAGGCTCATTGGTCACGCCCGGAACGACATTATCGAGAGGTGGCCGAAGCGGAAGACAACCAATAATCCGCTGTGTCCTACGGCAATCGTTAGCGAGCTTCGTGCCACGCCAAGCAGACAACTTACAGAACTTGACATGCCCAGCAATCCTACAGGATTCAGCTCATTGGCAGCGTTGTCGTTCGATACACACGCTCTTCGGTTCGAGTCTTTGGCAGTTCGTTAGATGCAAGAAAAACCAGAACGCGTACAGAGTGTCCAAAAACGTCTTGGTGATCTTCGACACAAGTGTCTGCCGCACTGGATTCTATATGAAAAGTCGGGACGCCGACGTCGCTGTGCTCGACGAATCGACGCCGCCAGTGACATTGAAGGCACCTGTGGTGATATGGTGTCGGAAGGGGCGCATTGAGATTGGGAAAAGTCGCATCCGGCTCTGCAGTCGACCCGCGCCAGTTCTCGAGGCGGTAGAAGATATTCGCACCTGCCAGAGCTAACTTAGCCGTCACTCGCACTGATGAAGCCCGGAAATTTGCCGTACCTAGCCAACGAGCTTGAACGCGCGTGCAAAGATCTTTATCTGATCGCGCGGGGTGCGTCCCGCCTTGAGGATAGTGCAGAGGGATATATGGGCGACCAGGTCACTACCGGTCGACCGGCGCACTCTCCGCGGTACCGGTCCAGCGCGTACGGTAGTATCGTGCAGTCAGGACGCCCTCTCCGCGCGTCGGAGGAGCATGACGAGATGGACGCCAGCGGCGAACCCAAGTCGCAGTGGCCGAAAATGCGGGGCGCGCCCGTGCGCATGGCTATGTGGAAGAGCGTCGAAGGGATGTGGAAAATGGGCTTGTGCCGTGAGACGCCTCGCCCCCCAAGGCAACGATGTTGGCCCTCACTCCCGCAGAAGGCCGTCCCTTCTTCCGCTGCTCGCTCTTCGTCGAGCAGGCCCATGATGTCCGTCGAGTGGCACTTCTCCCGAAATCCTACGAGTCCGAATGCGCATGAACAGACTTTCATTTGTTCGCCGAGGCTGTGTGTAGCCTTCAGGATAGCGCAGAGGTGCATACAGGTGGCCAGATTGGCATGTGGGCTGAACCAGAACGCGCACTCCTCGACAGAGCCGGGAACGTCCGCGCGTCGGGGGAGCATGGCAGGGCGGACGGCTCCGCCGAGCGTATGTCGTCATGGCCGAACACGTGTGGCGCGCGCCCGCGCACAAGTCGGCAAGGAGGCGCATTGGGGAGGGGAGCTCGGAAGACGCGCCCGCGGCATGCAATTGCCTGCAGGGTCTGGACGGGATGGATAACGGAAGCTCTGCGCTAATGACAAGCCGAGCCACTTACTTTGTGGAGTATTGTTAATTTTCTGCGCAGTCTTCTTGGGCTGTCTTCCTGGGCTGTCTTCTTTGGCTGCGTCGGTCGGGCAGTAGGCAACTTCGACTCAAACTGAGCACGTCCTCGGAAAAATAACAACGCAGAGCGGATATAACTGGACCAACACCTGCTTGGTTAGGGCTTGCTTTGTTCCTGAGCTGTAGAACTGGACATTTGAGGTTAGATAGATATAACGTTCACTGATACCCTGCCTTGTGAGCGCACCAAAAGTGTCTCTAGACATCCGGGATCAGTGCTTAGCATCCACCGATTATCGACAGAGGGAATATCGATCCAATCTCCAAACCGATGCGACCATCAGAAATCCATAAACCAGGTGAATGATAAGCACATATATTAGTCGTACATCGAGACACTGTCCGGCTGCTCTGATAGATCGCCGCGCCCACGCAAGAGAAACCAAAGTTTCATTGTAAGATGTAAAACGATTTTCTGAGCAACAGTCAGTTCGAGAAGATTTGAAGTGGAATGGTGCATACGGACTAGGCGCTAATCCGCTCAAGCGGCTACGGGCTCCGTTGCGCGAGCCTCCGCATGTCGCGACTTGGGCCATTTCGCTGCCGGCGCGTTCCATAGCTCGAGCTCCTTCTTTGGCTCGTCCATGTCCTGCTCTCGCCGCCTCTCCCAATACACCGTGATCAGGCCCTGCGCGCCACTCCAACACTTGATCGCCCACCGCACGTACTCCCTGAACAGCCGCGCTCGCTTTGCAGAGCTGATGCGGAGGTATCTAAAGGTAGCGGTGAAGCCGGCTATGAGCAACTCCAGGGTTGCGAGCTCCAAGAACTTGACGGCATGCTCGGACGTCACGTCGACGGGGAGGTTTGACAAGGCAGCAGTGGAAGTCGTGGAAGTCGTGGGAATCGCGATAGCGTTGCGTCACATACGCGAGCTCGGCATCGTTCACGTAATGTCTCTGCGCTTTCTGCTTTTAGTTTCTGCAAAGATATCTAGGAAATAGGCTCACTGATTCGCGGGTGTCAGGTGTGGCGATGCATCGCTCTGGCCAAGTGATTTAAGTGCGCCCGAACGCGCTCTGGGGAGGGTTGCGAGCTATTTTATGCCGACGGTTTTCGTGTTGATGTGAGGCCTCCTTGATGAATCGGCGCCCCTCCGAGCTCGCCAGCATGTGGTCCTGGAGTGTAGGAAGCGCGGGCACAGAGGTGAGGTCTCCGAAAGCGGCAACAATCTCTGCGCTCTCTCGTCAACAATATCTAGTATGCCAATGCTTTCGCACGTACCATGGCGCGCAGGCGCGGTCAGGGTCATTTAGGACGCTCTAGCAAGCATGACCGCATGCTCCAAGCAACTTGGCGGGACATGCCCCGGGTGCGAAGGTCAGTCAAGTCCTCGTGGCTGACGCGCGATTGGAACCGCCGCATGGCCTCAACAAATGAGCCAGATTCGATCTCACCGACGGTTCCCCCAAGCTTTGATACGGTGTCAGCACGTTCAAATGGTAACCAGTGGCAATCGTTACATGATGAACAGTCTACGACGCGCCGATGAGGGTCAGAACAACAAATGTCGCTGCGAATGAAACTCACTTGAACGGTCTTCTCAAGATGAGAGCCATGCCTCTGCAAGACAAGTCGCATCAGGAACAACCTCAGCGGAGGGCCACCTGGGGACGCACGTCTTTCAATAACGAACGCCAACTTGGCGTGCCAACGTCGAGTGATAGCAGCAGTACGAATGGCAAAGTTGACAGCCGAATTACCAAGGTCTAAGTTCACCTCTCCGCCATCGTTCAGGACATGTACCTCTCCTGTTAGCCTCATGTTCAGCCCATGTTCTGGAGTCTTGCAAAGCGCACAGCGCGCTACGCACCACGCACCCGCAGTCTCAATCTCGATCGTCGCAGCTTCAGGCCAGCCATCTGCAGGAGAAATCCGGTCGAAGGCGCTGGTAATGCACAGTGAGCCTCCGCCATAGTCAAGCCGCGAGTTTCGGAGCTCACCGATGACGCCCTTCCGACACTGCTAGCCTCACCACCCAGAATGTTTCACGCTTATCGTGTTCTGATGGCGAGGTGACGGGTAATTTGGTCTAAAATGCAAGACGCAACGACTCTTTCGAGTAAGAACCTGCTTCCCAAACCTTCCACATTTCGTGCATTGGGCGCTCAATTGGCGCTTTGTAGCGCGTAAGTTAGCCTTGAGCGTTTGAGTGCTGGAAGGAAGCCCACCTCGACCAGCCAGGCGATGTGCTCGCCCAGCATCACATCGTCGACCGTGCGCTCGTGTGCTTCGTGTGACCCACATCGGGGTCCTGCATGTTCGTGCCGCCGAGCTCGGGTGCGCCTTGGTGTCTGTCGTCAGGTCATCGGGCACGAAGTGCAGCAGAGAGAACAGCCCGTCGTCCTGTACCTCCGTGACGTGCAGCCCGACCTGGCTCCGCCACATGATGTACCAGCAACGCTCAGAGCCGTAGCCATACAGTGAGAGGGCCGAGAGCGCGGAGCAGGTGGAGCGCAGCGAAGGTGATAGAACGAGCAGCATTGTCGACAAAAGGCTTTGTCACGGTGCTGTTGATGTCAGAAACTGGCCCAACTGGATACAGCCCTTGACCGTATGCTAGAGATAGTCGTCAGTATTTGTCACTAATAGGCAGATTGTTATCTTACCACGGTATTCGCAGCAGAACGGTACTTACAGGCAGCCTTGAAGTCACCGATAACATAGTCAGGACAGATGGTATGCCCACTGGGATCCTTCGCTCTCGCCTCAGAGGCCGCTTCCCCAACGCTCACTTGCTCCTCTCGTCCATGCATAGCCCCATCTCGGGTGTCGACCGTGTCCTCTCGAGGTCGTCGCCCTCGGAGACGCCCTCCCCGTCCTGTCGATATTGGCGTCCTTGCCGTCTGGTAACCGCGATCCAAAGCGAGAGCGTAGACCAAGAGGGATGCGAGTGTGGAGCTTGGAGATCGAAGTCGGCTGATCAGGTCGAGCAGCCGAGCGATGCATCGCTAACGTGGCAACCGTGACCATCGAGTGCTAGTATATGCAGATCTGCGGGGCAGCCTGAGGCCGCAGTGAGAATGGCGGCAGTAGTCAAGAGGTAAAAAGACTTACCAAGACAACATATTCGCTACGGAACCGTAGCTGTGAGGCTTGTGCGTGTGATTGATTCACGAGGCCGAGTACAAGGAGGCCAGCAGGCTGTCGGGACTCTTGACGTAGTCTGTAGCCGAGAATGAGACGTATTGCGTGCATGAACGGGCAGAGGAGGACATACACAGTGCTTCAAATAGTGCCAGCGGTTCGTTGGCGCGATGGCACGCTGGCAGAAGGACGGTTCTCAGTGAACTCGACGCAGGAGGGCGATTCCCGTGTTGTCGTGACGTAAGTGCTTCCTAGCAAGCAGGAGTGGCAGTTGCAGAACGTGCGCTGTGCGAGGTCGTAGCTAAATTTAGCAAGAAAAGCGCACAGGTCAGAATACAACCACGCACCTTGGCTCCCTGGGTCCAGTGGCATACTGCTCTCCTGGTGCATACCGCCTATGCTCAGGTTCAACTCAAGTCCACCCAGATGTAGCCGAGTCGTTGACGTTGATGCCCTTCTGGACGGGTGACTGCATAATAAGCGAGGGGTTGCATGAGAGATCGATTTCACAGCGATGTGCTTCACGAGATGACCGCGATCACATGCAAATCACATGCCAGCCCGAGCGCGCTTGCAGCGTTGCGGTTCCGTCGTCCTCTGACATGTCCTTCGCCAAAAGACTATCTTTCTGCATGCTGCAGTCAATCTGCCCGGATATCTGTTGGAAAACTCCTGCTTGCTCGGGTCGTTATCACCGACGGACATCCCTGCGACCCCTTTACGCCTTCCTGTACACCGACCGATGTTGAGGCGAAGATGGGCCATATATTGTACACCCGAATATTCTGCTTAATATTCTCTCTGAGACAACTACATGCTGTATTCTGTAAGATGTACGTCAAACATTACGGACAATGTTCAACGTTCCCGTCGATCTGATGTCGGTTTGTAGGTGCAGAAGTCGTCCCTTGCCGCCTTCCGTCGTTTGTTTGGTCGCACTTGATTCGACGAGAATAACAACAGATACGCTTATTTTGTTGTCATGTGAGGGAGCATATCCTAAGAAGAGCATGTGATTGAACGAATCATCTATGCGTGATGGCGCACAGAACCTTTCTGGGGATGGTGGGGATGTTAATTCCAGACACGGACTAGCCAGTACCGGGGCGTAGCAATACGAAAATCACGTACGCAATTCCTCTGCACACCCCCTGGATCGCCGTGACTTGCGGCTTGGCCCAAGACTGGCAACAAATGTAAGTGTATTGGTTCCGCGGTCGAAGCCAACGCTGGCTCACCACAATGATTAGGCAGCGATATTGTATAGCGACTCTGCCCGAAATTCGTGCAAGTGCTTGAATCTTTATTCTGTGTGAGGGCTTCGCCGGCTCCACCACCTGTGTCCCTGGTATCGTCCGCACCGCCACCAACAATTTCAAGAAAACTTCTCCAGTTGCTTATGACCTTGTGGCTCGCAGTATCTTTCGGCCCACTCCCAGCACATTACCGGCTCCTCCTCCTCAGCTCCACCAAGCGGAAATGCGACGCACAGTTCTCCTGCGCCCTCTAGCGGCGCACCGCCCAGTGCCGATCGTCTGCGTTTTGCGGGTGTTAGCATCGCCGGTCTCGACTTTGGCTGCAGCATGGACGGCTCGCGCATGGCCAACAGCACGTGGTCTATTCTGCTCGAGCACCGCGGCTACGATGGCACAATAAAGATGTAGTGCTTTCGACGACGACAGCTTCGGCGTCTTCTGTCACCCTGTCGGCTGGCAGTTCCTCACCGACGGCGTGCTCACTGACACACTCGACGGCTGACACACTCAGTGAGGATAACTTCTAGGAGCGCAATAGCCTTATCCAGGCTTTCTTGGCTACCGACGCAAGCTGCATCATCAATGTACACAGCTATGCTCGCTGGAATGGGTAGGTGACTTGTGTTCTCCGCGTTATATTGTACTCCCTGGGCTGACGTCTACTTTTAGATTATCGGCCAAAGTGCTCCAAGCAATGAGATCTTCGCTTCACTCTGGGGCAGTATCGCAAGCGAATACGTCGACAATGACCAGATCATTTTCGGAGTGTAAGTCGTCTCAGCATCCTTCATCCTGACTCGGACGTTCATTCTGTGTTAGCATGATCGAGCCCATGATATCCCTGACATCAATATCTGGGTGAGATCTATCCAGGCCGCTGTTACCGCCACCCGCCAGGCAGGCGCAGCGACGCAGCTGATCCTGCTCCCTGGCAACGACTACACATCCGCCGAGACCCTCATCTCAGACGGCTCCATGTCTGCCCTCGGCAATGGACTTCACAAACCTCGCCTTCTGCGCCCACAGGCACCTCGAGTCGGACCATTGGCACGTTCTTTGCTGGGCTTGCTCTAGATAGATGCTAATAGACTACGTGACCAGCAACATCAATGATGCCTTCGGCCTGCTTGCGACCTACTTGTGTGTCAGCGGCCGCCATGCGTTCAACACCGAGACCGGCGACAGAAACACCGACCCGTGTGCGACGCACCTCTGCTAGCGAATTGCCTTTGTCCAGCAGAAATTTGATGGTGCGCTCGTTTCTGTCACGTATGTAGCAACGGCTGACGAGGATGTGCAGTCTTCCTCGGCTATGTTAGCAGGGCCGCAGACCACTTTGACTCAAGCTACGCCCTCCGTGAGGTCCCAACGGACACCAACGGTGTCTAGGCTGATGCATCGCTTGCTTAGCACCATATTAATTCTGAGAACGGCAGATTCCTCTCAGACCTTCAGATGTTTGTCGTGTTTTACTCGGAGCTGTACTCTGGTATCGACGAATTGCATGCATGCTTCTACCCGGCAGTTTCGCGAGCGCCGAGAGTGAGAATGGACGATTGCTGACATGCCTCTGACTATCCGGCTCGAGGAGGCACAAGGTCAGTCCGTTTCGCCTTTACCGTGATCTCCAGACACTGACGCGAAGTTCAGGCGTCCTGTGTGCTAGTCATGAGTCCTGTCTACTAACATTTGCTCCAGCTGGCTTGGCTGCAGAGGCGTGAGCGTTCTCCTGGATATTGCCGCCGCATGTGTCGCACGCAGTAAGAAGCCAAGCTTGACTTGGTAAACGACTGTCTCTTGACATAGGTGAAAGACACGAAGGGGACCCTTACCCCTGCGACTTTTGTGCTTTGAATTGTCTCCACCAAGGCGTCGACTCAGGTATAGCAGCAACGTATTGGCCATGCTGCAATAAAACAACCGGCTGATGAACTAGCTTTGTTTCCAGGTAGTACTGTTGGTTACGAGCGCTGAGGTTTGGAATCCAAATTGTGAAGACTTCGCCATAGCTATCGTTGCAGAGCTAGACAGGCCCCACCACTTGCGTGTCCTGTGGCTTTTGCAGCGCGCGAGCTCAACAATCGTACATGGCAAGATTTTTGTTGTTGTCTAGATTCGCACCTTACGCTTTCTACCAGACCTCCCACGCATCCCGCGGATTACAGTACTCGAGCGGGCCTGCTGCCCTGCCAACAGCGAGGGCGATCGCAAGTATCGTGACCATCACCTCCCTACCGAGCGCCGAGCAGCAGCTTCTACAGCTCTTCGTCGACCATCGCCTC